CTAGCTGCTTGTACTAAATGCTCATCAAAGAACATGCCTCTTTATATTCTTACCTCTTCAAGAATGCCCCTGCTTCTCCCATCCCCCACCTTCCAGTGAGTATGACTGAATCTGGGGGATTAAAATCTGTTCTCTAATAGGGGCTTCGTTGAACACGACTTCAGTGAATGAACTGGGTTTTGGGTTTTTTTTAGTCATTTTAGATTAAATGAAAAAGGATCTCTCTCTCATTTTCAATCACCTACCCAAATGCTTTTGAACAGTAGGTTCAGAATTGGGGTGAGAACCAGATCATTTAGCAATCCGACTTCCCCTGTACGATATACTTAACCAAAGTATGTGTTTTGCCTGTATTTCTTTGAAGCATTATTCGAAAAGCCAACTGGGTGGGCACTCAGAATATCTAATCAGCCTTCCCACTGAGAAGCTTTTTAATGCTCACCTAAGGTTGGAATTTGGAATTAGTGAAATTTTCCATTTGGGGGAGGAGAAGACAAGCCCTTCTTTTACTTGCTCTACAATCAAATGGAGCCTCTAGATTGGGGAGGCTTGTTTCCCAAAAAGACATTTTTATGATTTAGCTATTGTTCCTGAGAATGAAATATTAATCCGCTCAGGTCTTCTTAGTAATTACGGTGGCCACATCTTGGCAGGTCCTGCCCCGCTCCTTGGGTTTCATTTTGTTTGCCGGCGTCTTCATGTTACCGTTTGCCAGTTGGTTTCCGAATAATAAGCAGAGGGTGCAATCCTAGTTTCCCGGCCACTTGCAGGAGCAGGGCTGTTCAGAGCAGAGGACCCTTCTCCTAGGATCCTGTGCAGATGGGAAGGAGTCCAGGCTGATGGGCTGTGCCATCTGATGAGGAGAAGACTTCCACAGATCTGCTGACGTCACGTCATCTGCCCACGTCTTTTTAAAGAGACTTTCTGTTTGGAGCTTTTAAAAAAAAGTGATGATAATTGGGGAAAGGAGCTGGGCCTGTGATTTCTTTGATATGTATAGAGAAGACTCCTACTGGTACAAGTCAGCAGCTTCTCTGTAACAGTCTCAGAGAGTTAACATGGTCAATGACTTTCCCAAGGTCAAACGATCCATGAGGGTCAGATGGGACATCAAGATTTGGACTCAGAGTTAGGAAGAGCTGCATTCAAGCCCAACTTTTGACAAAGAGTGGATTTGTGAACCTAGATAGATCACTATCAGTGCCCCAAGCATCTCTCTAAGGCTAATTTCCAGAGAAGGTGGTAGAAGGAATGCCCTCCACTATTAAAAGCACATTTTAACCTGTCTCCACTCCTAAATAACAAAATAATAATAATAGCTAGCATTTCTATGGCCCTTTAAGCTTCTCAAAGTGCTTTACAATTATTATTTCATTTTATCCTCATCACAATCCTGAGAGCTGGAGGCTATTACTGTCTTCACTTTACAGTTAAGAAAACTGAGGCAAGGATGGCCCTCTCCTCATTCGGCCCTGCTGCTTCTTAACCTCCTCTAGAAATGTTAGTTTTATTAAAAACCTATTAATCACACAGCTCTCAGTGACAGGATTAAAAGGGCCTCCCCCATCTACAGTCTACCATCCACAGAAACTCCATCTCCAGTAGGTCCACCTTAAAATAAGGAATTTCAAAGATTTAAGGCCTTCTAGGGAGAACATGCACCAGCAGGCAGGCAGTGAATGTAAACCCAGATGAGCAAAAGCCAGAGATCAGCCCGGGATTTTCAGCCTTCACGATGAATTTCCTTGCTATTATGTGGCTCTGCGTTCTAAGTCAAACTCTTAACATAAATTGTGGCAAGATTCCTTTGTGAGGGCCCGTGGGCTTGGCGCTGGCTGAAGCTTGCAGGGCCCCTCTAGGCAGGCTCTTTTAGTCTGCGGTGCCAAAACTTGGAGAAATTCTTCCTTCTCAGCTCCCCAAATCCAGTGGCTGATGCCTCTGGCCCTTACTAAATATAAGTCAAATAAAACTTGCACAATCTGGGTTGGTTTTTGTATGATGCAACTGACTCCATAGTCCTGTGAAATGGAATTGTTGATTTTAAAAAAGGAAATTATTTTCTTAACTAACCCCCCCCCCCCACACACACACATAACCACGATGGATTTTCTATAAAATAAGTTTCTGGGTTTTAGATGCGAAAATATATGAAAATTTTCTTTCAAATTCCAAGGAAAACCCTCCTATAAAGCAGGACCATAGGGAGAGGCATCTTCCTGGTGTAAGTGAATGGAGAGCTGACCTCAGAGACAGGACGGCCTGTGCTAGTCCCATACCTCACTGGTAATGTCTGTGTCTCCAACTTCTCAGGGTCCCAGGCAGCCCCAGACGATAGGTTGTAATAAAAGGCACCACCCTGCAGCGGTAGAGAGAGCTTCCTCACTTGGGATTTCCCCGTCCTAGTGAGAAATCAGAAGTCCAGGCTCAGTCCTTAGAGTGAAGGCAAAGTGTATAAAAAGCAAATAACTTCTCTCTCTTTTTTTTTTTAAAGACAGATCCATTTATAGCTTCCCTAAAACATGATAATTGCTTCTGTGTTCAGAGTTAGTAAATGCTGATTGCTAGACATTTTATTGATGGTATGTTAGTTAGACCCCATAGAAAGACACACAACTTGACTGGATAATATTGCCATTAACCAATATTTTTTTTTAAAAACCATGACGTACTAAGTTTGATAAACACTCATTAGAATGTAAAAGGTCACCTTAGAGAATAGGAATTGGACCCTTTCACAACTCTTACTAAGCAGAAAATTCTTCACCAGACAAAGGGTTGGAAATATTGGTAGAGACGTACAAAACAATTTCACTTTCATAAAATTAAAAAAGCTTTTGCACAAACAAAATCAGTGCAGATTAATAAGAGAGTAACACTGGTTGGAGAATAGGAGTAGGATTTTTTGTCAAATATCCCTGATAGAAGTTTGATATCCAAGACATAGAGGGAATTGATACAAATATGTAACAGCAAAAACTATTGTCTCAGTCGTCAAAGTTTATGGGGGAAAAACAGTTTTCAGCAGGAGAATCACAAATTATAAATGACCATTTGAAATAATTAATAGAAATAGAAGTATAAATGAAGATCACTCCAATAGGTCACTTGACATCCTACATATTGGCAAAGATCACAAGAAATAGGAATGGTCAATGCTGGGGAGGCTGTGGAAAGACCTATGCAGTACAGTGTCGTTAGGACTCTGCATTGGTCCAATTCTTCTGGATATCAATTTGGAATTATACAAAATAAATAAGTATGAACAAACTCTTTATACCCTTTGGCTAATGGATCCCATCATACCTTGAAGACATCAAAGACAAATACAAAGATCTAGTTTATACCAAAGTATTTTTGTCAGCATTTCTCTGGGTAAAGAAATGGAAACAAAATGGATGCCTGTCAACAGAGGAATGAGTGTGTGGGGGTGAGAGGGAGGGAAGCAGTGATATAGACATATAATGGAATATGATTTGCAATGAGATACAAGGAATAGGAGTTATCAGAGAAACAAGGGAAGACTTGTTTGAATTGATACGGAGTAAAGTAAGTAGAACCTAGAGAATGATGTAACAATGACTACAGCAATGTCGATGGAAAAATGTCACTAAAATGAAGCTAAAATCTGAGTAACCTTAAAATCTGGGATAGTCTCAGAGAACAGATGATGAAACATATTCTTTCCTCCTTATGGTGGAAAGGCAGAGGATGGGGACAGAATGTTGTATAGACATTGTCAGCTCTGTTCACTGTATTGGATATTTTTGCTTATTTTTCCTCATTTCAAAGGTGGCTTCAGTATAGACGAAGGGGAGGCAGCTTTTTTTTTCCCTAAACTGTTTATGATATAAAGACAAAAGGCATCAATAAAATGTATAAAAACTAATTAAGTGCCAACTCTGTGCCAGGCACTGATCTGATTTTAAAAAATAGCCCCTGGACTCAAGAAGGTTACATTATATGTGGGCATCTTTTATCAAGTAACCCTGAAAATACCTGCTGCTTATCCCATAGGGCAACTGTAATTTTTATGTTTCTTTTAAGAACCTTGGAAATCTCTCCTCTGACCTTGAGTTTAAAAATGGCCACTGAAGATGATCTTCCAGGGTCATATGTATAACTCATAACTAAATTCCTGGGGTGTGAGAGATAGATAGAATCCCAACACTTTTAGATCAGAATCCATCTTGAGTTTGCAATTCAGTAATTCACATGTTTTCTTGCCATTCAAAACCTTTTTTTTGTTCTACAATATTCCTAACATGAAGTGAGATAACAGATATAGTAAAGGAAATTAAGAAATTGATAGTTAAAAAAAATTTTTTAGAATAAATACATTTATTTTATCTTTAAATGAAAATTTTTAAAATTCAAAAAATTGTTACTGAAAGACAATAGTAAGTATCATGTATATGTGGGGGAGACCCATGAGTTTTAAAGTTGGAGGGTTTAAGCTTATTTCTGTATTTTTTCAGCAGCTGCTATTTTCTGATCCCCCCCTTCCCCACCCCCAGCCTCTGAAAATGAAGAGCACATCTTTAAGTCTTGTTTTGTTTGAATGAATGGGTAGATAATCTCGATCAGATGTTTCTTTAGAGAATCCTGTTTAAAACGATTATAGAACTGAGCTGTCCTACCCCCATTCTGACATATGATGCTTTTTTTCTCATTGTTAAGTCACCAGAGGTCATCCAAGGTAACCGTGTATTGAAATGGGCCTTTGTTTCAGGTTTCCTGTTGAATTTCTTTACCATTACAAAAATCATCCTGTTGCTACCGGGTCATGTTCACTTACCATAACCTGCAGACTTAACCACCAGACACCCTCCATGGGTTTTTCTGGCTGAGCCCTTCCCCATAAACAATAATTCAGGCTGAGTCGGAAACGAGGTCTTGGTCATGTGCCTGATCATTGTGAAACTGCCTTAGAGAGTCTGGGTGTCCAGGGTTGCCTGCAGCTCTCCTGTTTATGACACTTTCTCTTCTGTTTTTTTCTCTAGGACATTTGGGCTTCCAGGACAGTTTTGTCACATCGGGGGTTTTCAGTGTGACTGAGCTAGTCAGAGTGTCCCAGAGTAAGTATCCTTTCCCTTTATTTCATACCACGTCGGCTAGCTTTGGACTAGTTCGTTACCTGTACCCCCAGGGGTCCTCAAAACTTTCCACATTCACTCTAGATTCTTTGGAAGAATGCTGTCTCATGACAGCCAAGAATTTAAATCAGGAAAAGTTAAATGCTATATTGATGGGAGTCCTGGGAAAAGAACTGAAATCCTAATTAGAGAGGCTGTGTGGTATGTTGAATGACAGTTAGTAATAGCAGCTAGCATTTACATATTACAAATCTCTTTACAAATATTCCCTCATTTTAACAGCCCTGGGAGGTGTGTGCTATTATCAATTTCAGTTTTACTCTTGAGGAAACTGAGGCAGACAGAGGCTTAATGGCTTACCCAGGGTCACACAGCTAGTGTCTGAGGGCAGGATTAAAACTCATGTCTTCCTGAGTGCAAGTCTATCACTCCAGACATGCCCCGCCTCGGTCTGTTTGTCAAGTTACTTAACCACTGGGTCTTAGTCTCGGCGTTCTCATGGATAAGACAAAAGAAGGTTGGACTAGATGACCTGTAAGGTACTTTTCAGCACTGGCTCTATGTTCCTATGAGATTAATGGTCTCTACAGTTCCCTCATTTAAAGTGGACAGTGGGGGAAATCTGGCAGTTTTCTCCAATTCCTGAGACATTCTGCTTTGTAAAAAGATTTGGTTTTGACCTTTAAGGAATGCTAATGCCCACAGCATGAATGCCCCCCTGTTAAAAGATTGTCACCAGTCTGCCAATACTCACTAACGATGGGGGATTAAGAGTGCCTGTCACCCCCTGCTCCTCTGATCCAAAGGGGCATCCATTGGACGTCTGCTGTGCCATAATCCAGATAGCCCAAGTGTGAGCTCGACATACATACACACACACACACACACACACACACACACGTACACACCCATCCTATCAGCCAACCCTTGTTTTATTCCTTTTATTGTCTTCACAATCCCAATGCCTGGTATATAGAAGGTGCTTAATAAATGCTTGATGTTTAACTCAGAGATGCTTCCTATTGAAAGAAGAACTGTATAGGTTGCATCAGGGAATCCCACAACCTCAAAGTTGAGAGGGAACTCAAGAGTCCATCTAGCCCAACCCAAACCTGACCAGTGGTTTCCTACCCTTATCTTGAAGACCAGTATGTGTAGGGTAGGGGGAATGGGAGGAGGTGAGAGGAGGGTCTGATTTCTATGAACAGGAGCCCATGTTACTTTGGGAGAGCTTGAGCTGTTAGGACATCTTTTCTTTACCTCCTTGGGATTTCCTTCTGTTCTGTAAGAAAAGTGAATAAATACATCCGTAGCCTGTACTTTGTCAGTCCCACTCCTGGCCATGTATGCTTCAAGGAGGAGGAAGATAAATAGAACAGTCTAGCCCCTGTTCAGCACGCCATTTTGGATGCCCAAAGGAGCCAGGGAGAACGAGGCTAATCCTTCTTACTCAGCATCACTTAGGCCTTGAGAACTCAGATTCTGAATGTAGGATTCCACGAAAAAGGAAGACCTCTATTGTTCATCTGTTTACTTTTCAGCTTAACGTAGAATTCCTCTCTCAGCGTCACCGGCTGTAGAGAGGACCCAGATGCTCAGGTCTAATGTAGCTACCCTTGACCATTTGTGGTCCCGTGGATGACCCTTGATTCTTCCTGCTCTGATATCTGACTTACTCTCAGCCAGGGCCAAGATGGCGGATCTATGGGGACTGGAGGACTGGGGAAAGTAGAGCATGGATGGCCAGGCAGGAAGGAGGGAGGTGGGATGCAATTGTGTATGACAGTGATCTGAGGAGCTCAGGACAGTGGAGGAAGGTGGCGAGAGGATAACTGAGGATTCCTATTTGTTATCCTACTGGCCTGGAGGGAGGTGGGGAGCCTAGGAGCTAGGTTCAAACTCAAAGCGTGACAACATCAATGCTGTAGAACAAGGAAGGACCTCACAGGCCATCTGGTTCAACTCTCTTACTTTACAAATGAGGAAATTGAGGCCCAGAGATGTTACAAGACTTGTCCATGGTCAATATCATATGGAATGCAGCTCATAACGGCCACATACTTAAAGTAGCAAACGTCATTATCACCCCAGTTCTACAGATGAGATGAGCAACGTGACATAAGGGAAAGAACGCTGAAGATGAAGAGGGCGAGGTACAGATAATAATAATGCTTGTCTGTGCCTCAGGTTTAGAGAAGGGAAGTGACTTGGCTGAGGTCTCACAAACAGTAAGGAGATTTGAACTCAGGTTCTCTGACTCCAAAGCTCAGTTTTATGCTGGGTTTTTTTTTCTCTTCTTGCTAACATAGTCTGCCTTTGAAAAATAAATCTCCCAGGGCTGCTGAATCTCAAGCATAATTAATGGGAGAAAGCTGGCAAGATTGAAAGAGTTCAGTTCAGATTGTGGCAATTGTTGTTTTTGCTTTGTTTTGTTTTGTTTTTTTTCCTTGGGGGGAATAAGTTGTGTGGTCTGACCAGGTATCAAGAATGAGGGATAGAAAACCTAAGTGCTCCCCCCATCCTCCCAAGGTCAAGAGGGAGTGAAAAGGGTCCCCAGTTTGGTGGGTGCATCTCTGGTAGTGAAATTATTGCCAGGAGGGCCAAGAGGCGCCCCGATGGGGCTGGCGTGGATGCCTTCTTCCAGGGAGCACTCCCAACAGGGAGCTCACCAGCCCATTGGAATACTGGCGTGAAGCAGCCCAGAGAAATGCTCTGGCTTATCTGAACTGGTTCTGGGACCCTGATATTGATGCTCTGAGCTCGTTACAGGTCATGGTTTTGCATCCTATCCAGGACTGAATCAAACCCTGCCTCTCACTCTCACAGTGGAGAATAATATTTGCTCTGTTGACTCAGTCACGGCCTTGGGCTAGGCTAAGGGCTGCAGCTCCCAGGGGGCTCTGCCCCTCCCACCCAGGGCCCATTAAGCCAAGGGCATCTGGGGATTTTTCAAGAGCACCCTTTAGCTTGCAAACAGTGACAATCCCTTGGGTAACATTCCGGAGGCCAGGCACCTTCCAGAAAGCCTTACCACTTAAGGAGGCTGCCATTACTGTGGTAGAGGCCGGAAATCAATTCCAAGACCCTCAGATCCAGCACCTGGGATGGGCCACCCTGGGGAACACTGGAGTGATTATGCCCACCGCTTGGATCCATCTGTGAGCTCGCACTGATGTGTAGCCTAGACCATCCATCCCTCTCACCCTCTGGGATGGTCCGCAGAGGAGCCGCCCAATATCCTCGAGCCCTTGTGCTGCCATGGATAGTGACCTGACCCATGATTTCCCTGAAATGATCCCCGGGACTTCTAGATAAGGAAACTCTCTTCAGCAGTGGGTGGTCAGCATTTTCTCTGCAGTGTCGCCTTGGGGTACTGAGAGGTTCAGCCAGTCAGTCGGTAAGCATTTAACTAATCTAATAGATAAGCATTTATTAAGCACCTACTATGTTCCAGGCACTATGCTAAGCACTGAGCCTACAATTAAATTAAAAAAGCAGGCTCTTATGATGAGCCAGGTACTATCTATATAAAGAGCTAGGGATGCAAAGAAAGGTAAGATCACCCCCTGTTTTCAAAGAGTATTTGTAATGGGGCAACCAACATGCAAGTAATGAAGTATTTAACGAAGGTTAAATGACTTGCCCAAGATCACACAGTCCCATGTCTCCTTGAAAGAAAGAGGAAAGGAAACAAGCATTTATTAAGCCCCTACTGTGTGCCAGGCATTGTGCTAAGCACATCACAAGTATTATCTCATTTGGATCCTCACAATAGCCTGGAGAGGTAGATGGTGTTGTTAATGCCCATTTTACAGATGAGGCAGCCAGAGATTCAGTAATTTCCTGGAGTCACTCAGGTAGTGAGACTCTGCACTAGTAAGTACAGAATTTGATCTCAGTTCTTCTGACTCTAGGTCCAGTGCTTTGTGTACTGTGGTGCCCCCTAGCTGGCACAGTACCTTTTTAAATATTATTAATTAGATCGTAGTCATAGATTTTGAGTGGAAGGAACATTACAGAGGCCATGTAGTCCAGCCGCCTGGTTTTCCAGATGAGGACCCTCAGGTCCAGAGAAACTGACATCGCCATGATCACACAACTAGTAATGAGAAGATACAGGATTCGAACCCATGTCCTTCAGCTACAGATTTTCATAAAACTGAGTTTGGAGTCAGAGAAACTGAGTTCAAATCTCCTTACAGCTTGGGAGACCACAGCCAAGTGGCTCCCCCTCTCTGAACCTGCAGATGAGGAGACTGAGGCACAGACGAGACTTGGTGTAAACTGGATAGCCAGTCACTTAATCAGTCAGTTTGCATTTGTTAAGTGCTTACTGTATGCTAGGCCCAGGGCTAAGCTCTGGGGGGGAAGAAAGGCAGAACCAGCCCCTGCCCTCAGAAAGCTCACATTCCAATAGGGAAGATCCTGTTTCAACAAATAATTACATTTAAGATACTCAGAGCATAAATAGGAAATGACCTGAAGTCGGACATTGGGTGGGGGGAGGGGGAGATGGGGAGAAGGAGGGGGCTGGGGAAGACGTTGGCATGGAAAGGTAATTACACTCCAGCAGTTTGCCACCCAACAAGGTAGAATTAGGATCAGTAGTTGGAAGTTACGAGGAAGCAAATTTGAGCTTGATATCCGAAATAACTTTCTTAAAATGAAATTGGTTGTAAATGCTTTGAGATCGAAGACTTTCACTTTTGCCTGCCTGCTACATTTACTGATATTCAGTCGTTTTTCAGTTGTGTCTGACTCTTAGTTTTGGGGGGGTTTCTTGGTAGAGGTACTGGAGTGGTTTGCCATTTCTTTCTCCCACTCATTTTATAGATGAGGAAATTGAGGCAGGCAGAGGTTAAGTGACTTGTCCCGGGTCACACAATTAGTAAGAGTCTGAGGCCAGATTTGAACTTAGGAGGATGAGTCTTCAGATGAAAACGATCCAGAAATGGGGTGAGCTACCTCAGGAGGTTGTAGGT